CCACCTCCCCTGAACATGGGTCGACTGAAGAGTCTCGTCATGCCTGCCTACAAGCAGTCGCGCTGAGCAAAGTGACTAGAAGGCAACCACACACTTATAAAAAAAAACTTTACACTTTATAAAGTCAGGCAACACTAACCAGGCTTCGTGTGATTCTGTTTATTTGTACCTTACTTTGACCATCCACTCGCTGTTATTGATCATTTTGGAGAGCAGGCAGACGTTTTGTTTTTTATTATAGCAGCTATCGGATGGAATCCATACATGGGCTGCACAGGTTGAAAAGTAGAAGGTTGGAGGAGTCGTTATTTAATTTAATCTGGCTTTGCTTTAAAAGCAACACGATCATCGACCCGACGCAGTCCCCCATTGTTGTTGTTGTTGTTGTGAGCGCCGTTGGGGAGCAAATCAGCGATGTAAACGGTGACGTCATGACGCAGCAGCGGCAGCACCATCCCGGCTCTGGGTGGTGTGAACAGAGCGGGAGCAGAAAAGCTGAACCAGAAAAGCTCTAGCTCGGAGCTAGAAAGGGAAAAGCGCTGGTGTGAAAGCCGCAAATGAGACATTCATGTTGCCAGTTTTGTTGGTGCTAGTCGTGCCTGCATGTGTTTCACTCACAACAGCGAGGAGGCAGGGCTGCTGGGGATGGAGTCTGCCGTGGTGTGGAGCTGCAGAGAGGAGGAGGCCGTGTGCTGGCTGTACCCGTCCTCACTCTCGCTGGCCGCAGGTTCCAGCTCCATCTCGCCGTCTGGCTCTGAGAAGAATCCCTCCACGCCATCGCTCTCTTCTCCTCCACCTGCTTCTGGCTCATCAAGCTCATTGTAAAGTTTAGTCTCTGAGGCCCTCTCTCCACCCAGAACACTTATTCCATCCTCCGCTTTCATCTCCTGCAAAGGACGGGGGAAAGATGCAGAGGGATTCAAACAGAGCTTGCAACGCAGGAATACTTTAGAACTCTGCATTTCATTACAAGCATCATGTTTTCGCTCTGTCCTCGTTGGGTGCTATACCTTGCGATGCCTTTCTCTCAGAGGTCTATCTTCTAATACTGAATCTGCCGAGATAGTAAAGATGAATAATAAGAAGGAAATGGTTATGCCAAATGCATAGCTGCATGCAAACTGTATGTTATGATGCAAGTGATTACTAGTATGTATGCTTGGGTGTGCATACCTCCATTGGGTTTTTCAGGTCTGTGCTTCTCACTCTCACATTTTAAAGTAACATCCAATGAAATATGTCTTTTCTGGTGCACCAACTCTCCAGTCTTTCTCATTGCCACAGGCTGTGGAGGTGCCCCTGTGTAGGAGGAGGAGGTGGGAGGAGGGCCCCTTCGTCCCATGGGGAATGCTGGGAGACAGTTATCTTGACTGTTGCACAGAGAGGAGAGTGAAGCTGAAGTCCCACACTGGGCTTCTAACGCTTCTTTCTTCCCCTCCAGGCTACTGTGAAGAGACGAGGGCTGTGGGACCCCTGTGGGCACTGCGGGCTGGGACTCATGGGGCTGGAGAGGCCCAGCTTCCCAGCTACCAGACAAAGCATGGCCGTTTTCCTCACACAGTGACAGCGCAGCCTCGACTGCAGCTGCATCCAAAGCCTCTGCAGCCTCCTCTGCCTGTAGAAGGAGAGATATGACTCTAGATCGTAAAGAATCATTTAGGTTTTTTTTCAGGTGCTATTTTTATTGCCTTGTAAATCACAGCAGTCATGGTTCCGTGTAAACTGTCAATAGATGACCGAAATTCAATTAATCACATTTTAAAGAGGACGTATTATGCTCATTTTCAGATCCATATTTGTATTTAGCCTCTCCTGTGACATGTCTCCATGCTTTAGTGTTCAAAAAGCTCTTTATGTTTCTCACACTGCCTGTGCTGCAGCACCGATTTTCACCCTCTGTCTGAAACCAGAGCCCAGTCTGCTCTGATTGGTTAGCTGGCCGGCTCTGTTTTGATTGGTCAACCACTAAGAGATGTCCCGCCCCTTAGCCTATAATGTACAATGTGTTGGAGCGCTAGCCAATAGCGTGAGTGTTACATAGTGATCCTTCAGGAAGGGGGGGGTGTGGGCGAGAAACTCTCTCTGGAGGGAACTTTGGGATTTTAGCCTTTGCAGACCCTTTACATGCACCAAAACCTATATAACACTACAGGAAAGGGAGAACACAAAACAGCATAATAAGGCCTCTTTAAAAGAATGTTTATCTTAGGTTTTTAGAAATGCTTTGAAAATATATGGTACTCTTCACCTTGTCCTCAATTATGGCGATTATGTCCCCCACCGTCTTCAGGTCAAGCTCATCCCCCATGTAGGACACAGACACGTCCTCCTCACTGAGCTCTGACACTTTGTCCTCTGCAGAGACAGACTGGCGTCCAGGCAGCAAAGACGGAGCCATCACACCAACTTCTGCATGCAAACAACAACTGGTTTCAACTTTTCTGTTCGCCAAGATACACTTTTTAAGTAGCAAGAGTAGCAGTTCATAAAAGCATTCATCACAGAACGCCTAAGTCAAGCTTGATCATTTGCTTGAATTTAAATTGTAACCACAATTAATCTGAACTCTTTATTTACATATTTTGAGATATTCACAAAATATAGATTCTAATATAGAGTGGTTTACTTTTTGACATCCCTCCTGTGTGTATAAAAAAAAGTATTTCTGAAATGTTGAAGAGTTTGAATGTTTTAACGTCGCAAGATACATTCATATTTCAGTCTACTTTAGCCATAACACTCAATCTTTTTTAACCCTTAGATGCATAAGTGGTTTTCTTGATCTTTGTAATTAAAAAATGTTATCATTTCATATTCCAGCTATTCCTCAAAAAACATGTTTTGGATATCATGCCATTCACATTTTAAATGTAATACATTTTAAGAAATTGTAGTTTTTGTATTTCTACCCCAAGCTTCCATAAAAATGACCCGCGTGCATTTTCTATGGATCCTATGGGAACCTTTGATTCTTATCACCTGTTGCTGTCAGGAATACATTCACTGTAGACCACACAGACTGCATCACAAGTGACACCTCTCAGGAGGGTTATTTTACACAGCAAGATCTCATACCTGTTAGTATAATATAATAATAATAATAATAATAATAATAATACATTATATTTGTATAGGGCTTTTCAAGGACTCAAAATCGCTTTAAATATAAGGGAAGGTTAGGGTGGGGGGTATAGGACTATCAAACTTGATCAACCGGCATGGATTGATGGGGCGGGCTATGAGTAGACAAGAGGAGAAGAGATGATTTTTGAAAAGGGACTGGAATACTGTGAGGGTCTCAGAATAGCGGAGATCTTTGGGACAATATGTTCAAAACTTTTTTTCAAAATGTAAAAAAAATGTCTAAAATTATGAAAAATTAAATATAAAATATTTCTAGTGTGAACCAAAATATAATACTAAATATTAAAGAAGTGATTTTTATTAACAAAATGACAAAAATGGCATGAAAACACATTATTCTAATACGGGTCATTTTAGACCCGCTTATGGAAGA